TAGACCCTTAAAAACGTTCGTGACTTTATAGCACTTTATAGCACTTCCATTTCCTCTTTAGAATCGTAGCGCCATTTGTAATCTGTAATACCCATAGTCAAGAAGTCTCCCTTCAAATATTACTCAATAATCTTGGTTTACATGCACCCACATGGCACAAGATTTGAGGAGAAGGTGGACAGTGTTTTGATACATCTATAGAATGGATGTAAGGGTTACAGTGGTAAAGCCTCAAGAAATAAAGACCGGGATGTAAATTTATAATTTTGTGGGATCAGGATCCCACACAACCAAGCAAAGCCGTATATGCCGGTCACTTTCTATTAGATCCTAATATGAAAAGTGATCTATTAAAAAGGTAAGCAGAGCGACTATGTTGGAATGTGACGTTACCAACCTCAGGGGTCATATATCAGAGGCAGTATCCGGGCAGAACTGTCATTTTTGAGTACTCAGTATTTTACTCCTTTTTCCTATTTTGCATCTCCAACTTTAGCGGTAAATTACATAGAAAAAGGAGGAAAGTCTATTCCAAGCTTAAAAAAGCAATGTTCTTAGGACAAGCAAGAATCGCGCCGCATTTTATCTAGTCAATTTGAAAAAAAAAACCCAAAAATTTCTACCGTTTTTGAACATACACATTAATCCAGCATACTTGCGCCTAAAACGCAGTCTGCAAAAGAAAGCAGAATCTCCTCAAAAGAAATCTTAACATCAATGTTTCAATCAAACGGTAAACCGTCCCAGTTCTTGCAAAGACATAGCTGCCGAAACAATTAGCGATAGTTTAAGAGGAAGAATGAATAAAGTAAAAGATGGAAAGAACGTGATGATTGAACTCTTTGATTTACCCTTACTCACTAACCTTACCGCCAATTAGTAAACAGCACACTCACAAGCCAATCACTTTGGTCATGAGAGATGGCAGTTTTTCTCATTGCAGTCTATGTCATATTTGGAACGGTCCTTAAATAACAATTTCTTACTTAGTGTTATATAGCAATTTCTTAGAGACCTGTACGAGTGCAAGCTCGCAGATATTTCAGACATACAGCGAGCAAAACATTGCTCTATGGTATCGATTGGAACCACTGTTTTGCTTGTTGGATATTAGCAAGTGAGAGGCTCTCAAACTAGGTACGGAGCAGAGCCGTTCACCTTGCTTCACTATAGCATTCTTGACTCAAGTTGAAAGTATTGAATGTTACCGCATTACTGCCACCTAAATATACTAAAAGGATTTTTTTTTGTAATCAAAAATTGTCATTTTTTATCTTGCGAAAAGAAATTAGGAGCTATTAGCTCTACAACCAGTGAGTTGATCTATGCTTTAAGAAGATCAACTAAAGTGGTTCTATGATGTCCTATCCAAGATGACTTACATTTAGGTAAGTTTCCATACTATGTCTAATCCGGAAATCTTGCCCTAAATTTACTTTTCAATGCAGAATCCCATAGCTTTTAAACTAGAATTTCAATCATACTTGATGACCACAAGTCTACTCTTCTCAACTGCAGTTATTAGCAGACGAGCTGAAAAGTGAGATCTCACACTTCTTCGACCCGCCGCCAGAATTCTAGACTTCTGAAACTGATATTTTAATGTAGCGCTGGAACGTAGTGATTTACGTTGACTACTTTGCTAACTGTAACAAAAAAGTTATAAATTCAAAATGTGTGACATTTGCTGCAAGACTTTGGAACCAAACTAATACTTGCACTTCTTAACAGCAGTAGGACGATTATCTGAAATGACTTTCAAAAAATAAATTCTCGATTTAGTATGTTCAACATGCTGAATCCCCCGTGATGGTC